AATGGTATATTGTTTCAATATACCATATGAGGGTACTCGGGAAACGTGAATAGATATGCTATAGGTTAGGTTAGGTTGAGAAAGCGCGTACTGCCAGTTATCAGCACTTCCACTCGGAGGCATATATTGCCCATTGTGATGCCGTCAAAAATTATGCCGAGTTGCTTACCTTTGCTAACTTCTTTCCTAAATGGTTTAAATTTAGTTTTCAGGTGAAGTTGAGAAGGTCCAATAAGTTTGCTTTCGTTATCACTATTAGGCCAGTGAAAAAGCGATCCCTAAGGCATTGAAGTCGCGTCTGCAGTCCTGGACAGAGACACAGGAAGTGGTTGATGGATTCTACCTCCTCTTTATCTTAGCAACTTCTGCAAAATCCACTTGTTGGAAATCGCCACCGTTGGAGCATAGGCGCTATGGCACAGTGTCCCGTTAGTACTCCAGTAAGTACACGAACTGCAGGTTTGCTGAAGTTCAAAAGGATTTTCTCTTTTTTTTTGTCTATATTTATAGGTTGCTTGACTATTTTGGTTTGCATTTTGAATGCCTTACATTAGCATAAGGTTTAAACATGTAACCGTGATTTCACCAATTCGTCATTGGAAAATACTTTATATAAAATTTTCTAAAATATTTTGCCTCTGTAAGATGGCAGAAATATAAATTTTGTGAGTTTTTAGTATGGCATGCATTGTCACTTTTAACCGCAAATAGTGCAAAATATCGATTACTTTAATAATATTTAAATAATTGTTAATAGTTAATAGTAATTGTACTAATATCTTTCTCATTCAAAATATATCAAAGCATTTATGTATGTTATTAGTTGTAATATAATTTACATCAAACCCCCAGCCGTTTGGACAGCCAGACGGTTAAAATAATAAAACTGTGATAATATATATAATTACATTTAAATAAAAAAAATTATTAAAATTCCCTTTGAGATATTGTTTTGCATTACATAAGATATTTGGAATAGTAACATATAGCGTACACATAACATAACTATATCATTTGTATCTACCCATCACGATCAAAAGTAAAACACCTCGACGTTACAATGTGTGCTCATAAACTAACTTATTTCAAATGTGGAAAGTGTTTAAGCTAAATGGAATTAGATATTTTTTATAAGGATATATAAACTAAAATGGAGAAATTATCATTTGTACAGTATGTTTTACAATACACACAAAATACTATCCCATGAGGTGAGATTCAAATTTCGGAATAATTCGTGTTGAACGATCAATTTCCAGTCGCCACTTCGGTTCATGTTGATACCTTTTGCAAGAACGTCGGGTGATGTTCAACGGGTGATATTTTCCGAGCAACGCATGGTTTTCTAATTATTTATATTGCTAGAATTAGAAAAAAGTATTTGTAAAAAAAGCGTCGTTATGGTGTGGCCAAATAGATGATTTCCAACGTAGATAGTGACCCCACATTTATCGAACGCATCATAACTGGTGATGAGACATGGCTCTATGAATTTGACATGCCCACCAAACAACAATCGACCGAATGGTGCTTCGAAGGTAAGCCGAAACCGAAAAGAGAACGCCAAAGTCGGTCCAAAACCAAGGTTATGTTAACTGTTTTCTTCGATATGCGTGGTGTGGTGCACTATGAATTTCTTCCGGACGGTCAAATGGTCAAACGATCAATAAGAAGTATTATTTGACCGTTATGCGTCGTTTGCGTGAGGCCATTCGCAAAAAGAGGCCAGATTTATGGAAGAAAAACTTATGGATTTTACACCACGACAACGCACCGGCTCACACAGTGTTGGTTGTGTCGCAGTTGTTGGCCAAAATCTCCACCAATATCATCAACCAAGCACCATACTCTCCAGATATGGCCCCGTGTGACTTTTTTTCTCTTCAAATTGCCATTGCGAGGACCATAGACACGTTTTGAGACCATAAAAGAGAATTCGCTGCGTGAACTAAAGGCCATACCTTCGGCGGCCTATAAAACTTGTATGGAAAATTGGATCAAGCGTTGGCATGCATGTATTGCCGCAGGAGGAGAGTACTTTGAAGGCGATAATAAAGAAAATTATTAAAAATTAAAATTTTGCGTTTTTTTTAAATTCTCGTTCTTTTTTGAATATAAGGTAGTTACTTTCTACATATAATATATATATATATATATATATAGACTTCTTATATAAAAAGAAGTTAAGAACCAAGTAACGACAAGCACAAATTTTAATAAGCACTAAATTATAATTGGTGAAATAGACAATAATTTGCAGGTAATTGCAGTTTTGGGCTAACCACGGTTATTGTTTTTAAAACTATCAACTATAGTCAGTAAGTCGTTAGCTGTATTTTATGTAGAAGTATTTTAAATGATAAGTTAATTTTTAATGGTATTATTATTGAACTATTTTTTTCGATAATGACGAAATGTTCAATAGCTCTTTGTGATACTCTTTTCTTCAACAGTGATCAACTTTTTAAGATGTCATTATAATACTTTTTTTGAACAAATCCTTTGTCGACTGAAATAGTCGTATTATACCAAAACTTGTTTGAGTTTTCACTGTAATTAAATGATGATTTCGTACAGAGATATTGACAATCAACAAGACTAAAATCAAAATAGTGGTTAAAATTATATATTATACAGAAACTTGTGTAAACTAAAATAAAACTTACTAGTTGACAACCTCCTTTTTGGAGGTACTATGCTCCTACCAGGAATTAAATGAATTTATATGTATATAATCTCTTTGGGGCTGTCAAAACAGCGACTGAATAGTATAATGGCAGCGGGTTGCTAAACGAGTGCTAAAGTCATCACATTTTAAATTAGTTAGTTATCGTATACCTGATTATTAAATGTAAGATTAATTACCGTGTATTGAATTATTAAACGTAAAACAAATTATCGTCTATTAAATTATTAAATGTGAAGTGAATTCTCGTTTAACACTTAGTTAGGTAAAATGGAAAATAATTATCCATTATATCAAGGTTTAGTGTCATGTTATGCAGAAAGTATTGGGCACGTCAAAATTAAAATTAAAATTATTTCAACGTTGACCGAAACAGTGTTACTCAGTCAGAAATGTCAAAATTGGCATCTTCTAGGATCAAATTGCTACAATTTTAATACATTTTGGAGA